CCTTCGGCACCAGTGAAGATGGACGATATTAACCCAAATTTTGACAAAAATGTTTGTTCAACAAGTCGCACCAATAGCCGCCTGGGGACAGTGACATTTCTAACTTCCATTGTTTTTGACGCACCCTATAACATGACCAACTGATAGAAAATAACTTGGGCAGTAAGTCGTGAAGGCATTTTCATTTATTTGCATTTTTTCAAAGTGAAACTGGAAGGCGAATGACCTTTATAGGATAACTTAAAACTAGTTAGTAGATCAGACAGTGGCGTTGCGTGAATGATCGATTATCGATATTTCTCAATTTGAAGCTATGGTAAAGAATCGATTATTAAGGTGTTCGCTGCGAACACCCAGTTTATAGATCTTTTTCCATAGGCTTAAATGGCAGATCTATCTATAAATCACAAAGCACGCCACGCCACTGGATCAGCTTCAGGAGTAGTTTGTTTTTCCTGTATTGTTACCGACTTTTGTTTTTGAAATTTTCAACCATAATAGTTCCTCTCGATACGCGCAATCTCACGTTTTAATTTTTTTGACGAAAATGCATATGGGGAGTATCTCTCACATGGAGTGAATACCTTAGAGAGTAGCCTCATAGCTAGCCTTTCTCATATGTATGTTAAAACCCTCAATAAAAAACAAGCAGGAAAGCTCTAATTTGTTCATTCGTTGGTTTTAGAGAAGCGCCTATAGCTGTATTTTATGCTGCCGTGCTAAGGAAAAACGCCGTGTGAATCTAAAGGCGTTGCCAAATTCCCTTTGATAATACGCGAATTCCCTAGTAAACGTTTGAATATTTACCTTTCAATTTTTCAGATAATTTTGTTCGCAATTTTACCTAAAATCCCTGCAAGTTTCAAGGAAGAATATTCATATCGACGTTGAAACTACCAGACCGCGTTTCTCGTTTGCAATGTTTAAAAATCTCCGCCCCTTTTTTCATTTTTTCGAAGGAGTAAAAATCAATATAGTTTCTTGAAATTTTCACCTAGTTTTCTTCGCACAGAGAAGATAAAACAGGGAATTTCAAGAATTGACTTTGAATAGTTTTCCATTTAAAAAATAAAGTATGACAGGAAGTCTACAGCGTTACAAACCGAGATACGTAGTCTGGTGCTTTCACCGTCGAAATCTTTCCTCAAAAAGAAACATTTTGTTGAGGAAAATTTGGCAACTCTCGATTCTTATACGGCGTTCTTCCTTAGCACGGCAGTATGTAGATACGTTTTTAAGTTCCCGAAAAAGACGAGAACCGTTGAGGTTAAAGAACTCGCGAGTCAAAATTTCGAGAAAACTACAAGACCTACAATAAATTATAGAATAAACCATAGACGCATTTAGTGTGACGTCACATCTCGTTATAATTTCGATACCTCGAAAGTCGAAACGTGCCCCAACAAACGAACATGGAGGAATCTGCGGGATATAGGCAGGGGGGGTAGGGGTATTCGCTCGATGACTGTCTATGATATTACGAGTTTATTTTACAATCAATTCTTGTGATTGTGATCTCAAACGTTTTGGTAAATGAATAGCTTTCATAATTTCAAAGTCCCATGGATTAATTGTTTGGTTTCAGGCTAGTTTTAGCATTATTTCGTCAATTGTTCATTTTGGAGGTTATGTTTGTTTGTTGGGGCACATTTCGACTTCCGAGATATCGAACCACCAATATCGCTCCGTGACGTCACCACTAAAATCGTCTATTATCGTCCTCCACGCGAAGCGTTAAATAAAATGTATCATAAATCAGTCTATAGTCGAAATATGTGAGGCCCCTTTCCGTCATCTTTTTGTTGAGGTCGTGCGCCATTTGACCGCGTTGCCGCTAGTATACTAAAATTCTAGGGGCAGGTTTAAATAAAAAATGACATTATTATGTCACCTTTGAGACCATTACCTTCAAGATTGATAAATTCGCCAGCCCTGCGTATTTCAAAGTGGTCTCATAGATACCAACCAATCAGCGTTATCAAACAGCTTCGAGGATTGAGAGCGAAAAGTTTTTCGATTAGTGCTCGATCCCATTAACGTTTTTACGGTTATTGGGGAAACAGGAAGAGAAAAAGTGCTTTCGGCTGATAAGAATTCTAACGGCCTCACGAAGAGTGTCACGAAAGCCCCGTTAAAGCACTACCAGCTCTCGGTTGTAAGTTGACTGCTCTTACTGCCGTGCTAAGGAAAAACGCCGTATCAACCTTTAGGCGTTGCCGAATTTCCTCTGATACAACACAAAGTTGCAGGCAAACTCGTTAATATTTTTCTTTCAATTTTTCAGATTCTTCTGTTTGCGATTTCACCTAAAGCTCTGGACAATTCCGAGGAAAAATATTCATGATATTCCTAAAAAATAACCATTTTATCGGAGGAAATTTGGCAACTCTCGAATGTTCATACGGCGTTTTTCCTTAGCACGGAAGCTTAGTCTGCCCCGAGGAAAAACACCGCACGAACCTTCAGGCGCTGTCAAATTTCTTCTGAATAAATCGGAATTTTCAGGAAGACTCGCGGATGTGTTCCTTTGAATTTTTCGCAGAGTTTTATCTGCAATTCAATCTGTTGTATCCAAGAATTTCGAAGCAAATTTTTTATACATTTCAACAAAAATGAATGTTTTACAAGGTGAAATTTGGCAAAATCTGGATGTTCCTACCGCGTTTTTCATTCCAACAAATGCATGCGTTGCTAGGCACCTTTGTTTGCGATGTATATCACCGTACATGCGATAATCGATCCTATTTTACTATATATCGATATATGGATATCAAATTGCCTTATGTATTTGTTGTGTTTGATTGTGTTTCATGATGTGTTTATGTGTTTGATTGTGTTTCATGACGTGTTTGTTATGTTTGATGTGTTTGTTGTGATTGATTGTGTTTCATGTTGCGTTTGTGTGTTTGTTTTATTCTAAAATATCCGAAAATTGTAAGGAATAATATGCATGACTCTTCTAGAAAATCTATGTTTTACCCGGGAATTTTGGCAACCCTCGAATGTTCTCACGGTTTTCTGTCTTAGCACGGCAGAATAGTAGATGGACTGGAATATGGATTGCATTTTGCAAAAAGGAACCACTAGCATTGCAATGTTGCTAAGATTGTGCAACTTCTTTTGTCTTGAAGGAAAAACCCGATTATCCCTTAATAGTTTCTATTTTGCTCGCTAAAAACTGTAAATTTAAGACAAAAATTACCATCTGAATTTCATAGTTTTTCACGATTTCCGCAATTTTATTGCAAAGGATGAAGTTGCATAATCTTAGCATCATTGCAATGCTAGTGGTTCCTTTTCGCAAAATGCAATCCATATATCTCTAAATTCGCAATCCTCTTGAATGTTCCCCACCGCAGTTTTCCCCGGCGCATACGAATCGGGTCCCGCCAAACACATTTCCCTGGAAATGGGTCCCGCGGCGCCAAGGGTGGCACACGAATTGGACTGCACTCTGCAATTTGGACCTATAATTTCCGGCCCGGTTTAAAAACAACGTATGTGCCATTAGTTTCCCTATGCACATAAGTGTTTTTTCAGATGAGCCAGAATTTATAGGTCCAAATTGCAAAATGCAGTCCAATTGGGTCCGAGTCCGAGGCCCCGGTCATGCATACACGAATTAAAATTGAGTGTCACTGTGCGGCGTGATCATTAGGAGTAGCGAAAAGGGTAGAGTTACTACTTAACCTGAACTATTGAACATCATTTTTGAGCCTTAACTGGTTGAAATGGAGATGTTGCATGTGTGCGGAATTTGTGATTTGACTGTTGATTCTTATGCAAAAGTTGGCGAGAAACACGATGGTGCCACTGGTTTTCTATGAAATCATCTCCCAAGCTCAAAAAAAGCTTTCAAAGTGAGGCCAAAATGGAGGGGATATCCCACGCTATCCTGAGAGTCCACCTCTACATCAAAGCGAACTCTCCATGCAAAGATAGGGAACAAATACATTGACAGGGCTGCCACTTTATTTGGGGACTCTAAAACTGAAAACACGGCAACCCTGCGGATATATTTGCTCCCTATCTTTGCATGGGGAGTTTGTTTTGATGTAGAGGTGGACTCTCAGGGTAGGGTGGGATATCCCCTCCATTTTGGCCTCACTTTGAGAGCTTTTTTTGAGCTTGGGAATTGATGTCAGAGAAAACCAGTGGCACCATCGTGTTTCTCGCGAACTTTCACATAAGAATCAATGGTCAAATCGCAAATCCCTCACACATGCAACATCTCCATTTCAAAGAGATGTCCCGCACAAATTTGAATCTAGTGATGAGTCCATACGAGTACTTACAATTAGTCATGCTTTCTTATAGCAAGTTTTCCTTTTTTAGGACTCCTTTTCTCTTTGATGCGGTATCACTGCGTAAAACATAAGTTTCTGTTCGTGCGCCAAGCAGCGTCTCTTCTTTTCAAAGAGTTACTCATTTTTTTCCGGTACAAAACCTTTATATAACATTTTGCGCGACTGTGATCTTCCCCCCTATGAGAGGGGATTTTCGGCTCGCGCAACGCGGTGCATACCCATGTATTCGTCCATTTCAAACGATCAGTAGTTAACGACAACCGCGCCGCACAGTGAGCCGAATCGCTCATCGCGCAGTTCATAGACCCAATTCATATTAGAGCATCAATCACCCCGGACCAAAATCGTGTTGCTACCAGTGATGAACTTTCACCCCGGACCCTCTCGAGTGCAGCCGTTTTCCCTCAACACATTATTTGGACGGAGTTAAACAGAAAGGAACCAAGCCACATCGGGATCGAACCGAGAAAAAGAGGTTTAAAGTTTAGCTCCTGCATAAGACTCAATGTAAAAGATAAACTTCAAGTTCAATTTCTGCAAAATTTGTTCCAACAAAAACTTTGAATTTTTGGCTATAGATAGTAGAGCAGCGGTTGAGTTCAAAACCACTCATAACTCAATTTTTTTCAAAATGTGGGTTGGTTCCTTTCTGCTTAACTCAGTCCACTTGCACTCGTAAACACATTGACTTACCTACAGCCGCGTACTTCTCGCTTTCGCCTCTCGAAGAGCGAAGACACACAAACTTAGGGATTCGAGAAACTCGAGAGAATCTAAGAATAAGTATAGCATCACCTTCCACGATAGTGAACTAGCCACAGACTGAGGACCCACAATCAGTCGTTTTGCGTCGTAGTTAGACGGACACGGAATGGAACGCGGAGCTGAGGCTGAAATTATAGAAGCACACGGAAAAAACAAGACTAGTGTTGAGCACTACTGGCCGTTTAGTGGGGAGTAGTTGAGGGCTGGCGTCCAAGCGCTGTGCAGCTCAACACCGGAAGGCAGTTCAGGTGGGCACTGAACATGAGTAGTGCTAATCAGATGCCGCGAGACGTAGTTGCGCTCAACAGGTGTAAATTCACCCATCAGACGTCGGGGTCACCATAGCCTGGTGGTAACGCGCTGGTCTTCCACCGGCGCAAACCGAGTTCGATCCCAGGCGGAGGCGTTTCATATTTTACGCTCACTCTAAAGTCACTTTAGGGCTTGACACTACTTCTTCCTTAGTAACCCAGCCTCGAGCTGTTTAGTGCCCAGCACTCCTCTGACTTGGTGGCTCCATTTGACCTAACCCTCGTTAGTGTCCAGCACTAACATGGAGGTCCCAACCCTAAGCTCGTTTTTTCCGTGCAAGCTACGCTGACCGCCGAGAATCGCACTGTTTACAGTGCTGGCTGGACCTGCGGGATAAAATTTTTATGTATCAGCATTATTATCACTGGAAGTCTGCTTTCTCGGTTCGCATGTACTAAGGGGGATCGAAGTTCTTGCGTCGAATGGTTTCCCGCAACCCGCGGTACACAGTCAGCAACGGCGCGGCGCGGCGCGGCGGCACCGGGGAGACAGTTATGCCTTGCTAGGAAAAAAACGCCGTATGAACCTTCAGGCGTTGCCAAATTTCCTTTGATAAAACATTTAAGTTCCTGGTGAATATATGAATGTTGTTCTTCCAATTTTTCAGAAAATTTTGTTCGCAATTTCACATGAAGTCCCTAAAAATTTCAAGGAAAAATAATCATAACTTTCCTAAAACTGAAACATTTTATTGAAGGAAATTTGGCAACTCTCAAATGTTCTTACGGCGTTCTTCCTTAGCACGGCAGAGTTGCCCCAATTTTTTGACGATAAAATCCCGAAATCACGACAGGGAGAAAATTGAAATAGCCAGTGTCACTCACCGAACCGGGGAGGACCGGTATACAAATTTTAGGGAAGATCGGACGGACGGCATATTTAGTAATTTAATATATTTAAGCGCTGTTTTATCAGTTAAATTTTATTATATTTATTCCTCAACCCGTCCATCGAGCGTCTTAAAAATGATTTTATTAGAATAGAGAGGATATCCCATCGCCAAATCGCGTCGTAACAACACGTGGTTGCAGGCATACTCCCTCACGGACTAGAATGACCGGAGCGCCTTCAAGTTTTAACATGCAACACGAATGTCCAGAGAGCACGAATAGATGCATCAAGGTGTTATAGCCAATATGTTCTTGCTCGATATGTGGTGTGCCCTCCACTTGGAAAAGAGTGAGCTGAAAGAAGCGAGTAGTTGCTCCCAATTTTCAGCGGGCCGATAATTGAAATTTATAGACAAAGCTATAGACAAATAAGACATAAGGAGTATAGAGCAATCCTGTTGGTTGAAATGCGGTTGAATGTTGGTTCCTTTAGATTAAGGGGGTAAATGATGGACTAACTATCGGGTTTCTCGTGGGTTGCCGTAAGTAAGTCTATTATACCTACGGCTTTGTCCATTGCAGCCACCCGCTTCCACCAATAGGATCCCTCCATGCATTAGAGTCCCTTTGTAGCCAAAGTTAAGACATCTCGATTACCAGCTGGCCTGGGCTGGCCTTGGCTGCCCATGGTGTCACATAAGTGTGCACCCAAACGAACGATATTTTGGGATAAGGATAAGAAATCCTGCGATGTCTGTCATCCAAAGACAACAACATTAACGAAACTGATCAAAACCGAACCGAAAAAATGGCAATAAAATAAAATTAGACTGATTTGTGGATAATTTCTTAATCTATTTTCATTTTGGTGCGATGAAAATAACAATTCACTCTTGATAAAGCACAATTTGGTTACATATTCATTGTTTTTGATCAAATTCGAGCCACCGCCATTTCGATGCACTCTTTCGTGACTCCACGGGTGAGAACCAATCAGAATTGGATTTTTTTAGGCCACTTCCAGTTTTCTCTGAGCCCAACCAAGCCTGACCAGAATTGAGAGATCGTAACTCTGGGTATAAAGGGACTCTACCATGCATATCCTTTTTGTTTTCTTTGTCTATTGCTGTGTCTATCAATGGAGATGTTGCATGTGTGCAGAATTTGTGATTTGACTGTTGATTCTTATGCAAAAGTTCGCGAGAAACATGATGGTGCCACTGGTTTTCTCTGAAATCAACTCCCAAGCTCAAAAAAAGCTCTCAAAGTGAGGCCAAAATGACCGGGGATCCCACCCTACCCTGAGAGTCCACATCTACATCAAGACAAACTCTCCATGCAAAGATAGGGAGCAAATACATTAGCAGGGTTGCCACTTTATTTGGGGACTCCAAAATTGAAAACACGGCAACCCTGCTAATGTATTTGCTCCCTAACTTTGCATGGAGAGTTTGTCTTGATGTAGAGGTGGACTCTCAGAATGGCGTGGGATATCCCCTCCATTTTGGCCTCACTTTGAGAGCTTTTTTTGATCTTGGGAGATGATTCCAGAGAAAACCAGTGGCACCATCGTGTTTCTCGCGAACTTTCACACAAGAATCAATGGTCAAATCGCAAATCCCTCACACGTGCAACATCTCCATTTCGATAACCAGCCCGCAGAAAGGACTTTTCTCCGTCGAAGTCGGTGTCCTCCAAACTCTGCCCGCGTTCGTCCGTCATTTCCGCGGAGCATCCGTCCATTCTGGCACTCCTCCAGCCCAGCCGAAGACGGGCCAGCCATTTCTTCGAGAGCTCTCAAACGAGGCTAAAAGACAAAGGCGACAGCGGATACGACGACGATGCCGTGGAAGCAACGTCCTCAAGTCTTTGTTCTTGGTCCATCGACTCGAGAGTCGGTGAGTTCTGTCACATCAGTTTCCCCATCCAAGGCTCCGCGGGATTTATTTTCGTGGGCCCGTCAACGACTCCGAGCCCCCGCCAGTGGCGTTGCGTGAATGATCGATTATCGATATTTCTCCATTTGAAGCTATGGTGAAGAATCGATTATTGAGGTGTTCGCTGCGAGCACCCAGTTTATCGATCTTTTTCCATGGGTTTAAATGGCGGATACATCGATATATCGCAGAGCACGCCACGCCACTGGTCCCCGCTCCTCTTCCGTGAGTCCCCTGCGGGTCGATTGTTGAATCGTTATCGATTAAACTCGATCGATAAATCCCTATCTTAGCAATGCTTTTTATCGATCAAGGTCATTCGATAACGATTCAACAATCGACCCGCTGTTTCTATTTCCGCGCTTCAATGCCTCCGTTTACGACCTACTCTGCCGTGCTGAGGAAGAACGCCGCACGAAAATTCGAGAGTTGCCAAATTTCCTCGGATAAAACGATTAATTTGGAGGAAAGTTATGAATATTTTTACTTGAAATTTTCAGAATCTTTAGGTGAAATTGCGTACAAAATTATGTGAAAAATCGGAAAGAAAATATTCAAAAATGTACCAGGAAATTCGTGTTTTATCAAAGGAAATGTGGCAACGCCCGAAGGTTCACACGGCGTTGCTAAATTTCTTTCAAAAATGTGTGCCTATGGGTCATGTTTCCAAAATTTGAATAAAGTGGGCTCTTGGAGGGATGTCCTTATCTGTCGAGTGATCCGTCTTGCCATCGTTTTCAACCCGCGCACACGAGACACGAAAAATCGTATGAAAATTTAATGATCATTGCCCTCGAAAAATGTAATCCGGAGAAAAGATCGGTGAAAAGGAATTCAACAAATAACTGATTCTTTCGATGCCAAAATTGAAATTTAACGTAAAAAATTCTCGGGAAGTGAAAATCCTCTTTCGAAAGAAAGTCGGCTTGGATGTAGCGTAGCTCAGTGTACGCATCTTCGCGTCGCGTTGTGCGATTTACGACTCTAAACATTGAGCCCGAAGGAAGGCGACATTGAAATGTCATGCTAAATAATGACTCCATTAAACGCTATCTTTAGAACGGGAGATTATTTTAGTCGCGCTTTAAACAATAATTAAGTGAGGAAAGGTATTCCATACATTTTTCTCAAAAATCGAGGAAACCAACTCGTTCGTGACTCGTATCATCGAAGCACGAAGACTCCTCTCTATCTTTTCTAGTATTGGAACATGATTAAAAAAGTTTATTGTGCGAGTTGATCGGATGGAACGAAGCGAACTGCACAGTGCACCTATCTGCATTGAAGTTTCGGAGAGATAGGAAAATAAAACTGTTTGTAAAAGTTCGAAATTGCTAACATGTAAGACGGAGAATTCGACGGCAGTATGCTGCTTTGAACACACGGAGTGCCATTTTGCCTTCAATTTTCGGCCACGCAACATGGATGTCCTTCGAGCAGCAATAGTTGCATCCAACGTCCAAGCGTCACAATCAACATTCGAAGCCTCCTTTTGTCGGTTGACCTGGATTTATTCGACTGGGGCTTTCTTCGTTTAGATCTTCCGTGATCAATGCAATCTCGACCGGTAATTTTTTTCCTACCCTTTCTTCACAAAGGAGCTGCGTAATGCTCTCTCACCTGACAAAACATCACTGTTAATTGAGCGGTGCAGCCAATCGATGAATAACGACGAGAATACGAATACAGTTACTTATCTGATTTGTCTTCCCCCTTCCTCTCTGTCTCGTCCTCCCCTTCCTTTATCTTTTCCTTCTCTTTTTCATTTTCTTTACTTCCTCCTTTCCTTCTTCGTTTACCTGTGTTACAAATCTTTCACCTCTCCGTATTCATCCTCGTCTTCCGTTCCCTCTACTCATCCTTCCTTTTATCTATTTTATTTGCCACCCCCTCTAGCCTCCTCCTCTTTTTTTCCTCCTCGTCTTCCTTTTCGTCGGTTTTGCTTCCGTCTCTACTCCTTTTCGTCTTTCTCTTTCTTTTCCTCT